TCTTCATTATTGGAAGAGCTTAATATTATCTATATATAAGAATGTTAAAGCCAGTCTTTGAGGCACTTCAATATTTATACTTCCCTGTTTGGGTTAAACCCTGTCATGCCTTCTCATTCCTTTAAGACCCAGTTTGATTCTTTGTTCTCAGTGAGGCCTTATAATTGTCCCAGTTTTCATTGGTCCTTCCTGTTCTTCAAGTAGTTATTGTCTGTTTTGTTCTTTTAGTATTTAATTATGCTACTTTTTAAAAGGTCAGGTACTGTCTTCGGCCCATGACACAGATAAACACCACAAGGTGCTTATGGTCTAGCTACTGGGAAAAAGAGGAACGCATATATTATTATAGTGGAACTAAATCTTTGTGAAAAACAAAAACAGGGGTCCCAGGGAGTAGAAATTATCCTTGGTTAAGGAAATTAAGAAAAGCTTCACAGAAGACTGACTTTTGAAATTGTTTTTGAAAGCTTTATTAGTTTTCAATACTGATTAATTCTTTCACTTGTCTGGTCATTTGTCCCTTTCATTCTCCTTAAATTGCATCTAGATTTTCATCATTCTATCAAGACACCCTGCATAGTCATTCCCAATATCCTACTTTTACTCAATGATTTCTCTCCTAATTCTTAAGAAAACTGAGAACATTTTTGTGTTAACCTCATTATCTCCTTATCTCCAACTCCCCCTACTTTCCACTCCTCCCCACTGCACACAGAAACTTTCCCAATCGCATGCTCATACCCCCTTATCCTAGGTCAGCCTCCTTGCTTGTGCTTTGGATCTCATCCACTCTCATCTACAGGACTGTTTTGTTAGGTTCTCCCTGTTTTTCAGCTGCTCCATCTCTTTTCAATTTATAGACAGGATTAACTTCCTTGATCCTGACCCTTCATGCACCTCCCAGTTTTTCTCCATTTTTTCTCATATTTGAGCTTCCTAGAAGAGCATATTCAGTTATCTCCATTTCAGTATTTCTGCTAATTTCATGGCCTGTAAACTGACTTTTATTCCCTACTATCTACTGAAACTTTAAGGTCACCTTCATTTTATTGCATAATTGCTAAATCTGATGGATTAAAAACCATGTACATAAAGCAGATGCTGAGTAAGTATCTCTTGACTGAATAAGCTAGTAAGAGTTCACTGCTGAAGTAGCTGTGTTGGATAGACAACTAGTTGGGTAATTTTAAAGGCTGTACCTTTAGGAAAATTCCGTAGTTACCAATCATCACACTTATTATTTGATGTGCCAGGCACTATTCTAAGCATTTCACATACATCAATGTTTTTAATCTTCATGATAGTCTCATGAGAGAGGTATTATTAATCCTTTGTACAGAAGAGAAAACAGGCAGAAAGATCTCAATCACACAGCCGCAGGTAAAGGAACAAAGACATGATTTGATCTCAGGCAGTCATGCTCTAGAGTCATATGCTTAATCCCAATCCTATACAACCTCCCTTATAATAAATGTTATAAGATTATGTTATGTTTGTCTACACATGAATTACTTTAGGCAAACTGGACTTGTTTAAGACATAGAAGTATTCTCTGAACCCCTCACTTCTCAGTTCAGTGTTCACTTTTCATTGAGTTAAATTATTCTAGGCCATTGTGACTTTGTTTCTGTCTGTTAGCTAACCTGTCTGGACTATAGTGGAAATGTATACTCTGTTGGGGTAATTTGCTCAAAGTTGAGACCTTACTTGTAACTTGGCATGATGACTTGGAAAAGTGACTGTGTAAGATACTACTTTAGATAGTTTAAACAGAGAACTAGATTGGGGCACAGTTGAAAGTGTAAATTGAAAATCAGATTCAACTATTTATTACTGTTGATAAAACCAGGGTAATTCTGAATGGTTTTGATAAAAATGAAGTACAGGCCTATTTTGTAGACTAAATGTAGATGAAGGACTGATAATAGTTTTTTATCTAAAAAGATTTCTCAATTTTCTTTGATTAGAAGGTGGCCCAGGAAGAGCTGGCAGATTCTTAAGCAATGTTTTCTTTTGCATAATGAAGTATTTGTAGAAACCCTGAATATATCTTTAGCCATTAGGATAACTGCTCTAATTTTAAGTAAACAACCTCATATTCAAGCAATTTTTTTTTCTGATGTGAATATTTACAAGTGACTTGAAAATGTAGAGATAATTGACTTTGTGCTGTTAATTTCTGCTCTCAATCAGATTAGACTAGGGTTTTTCTTTGTTGTGAAAATAAAGCTTTTTCAGAGAAAAACTTAATCTGAACTTAATTTGATCTTTTCCTTCATATCTGCATTTCTTTGTTTCCTTTCTTAAATGGGACTAGAGCATGAATAAAACTGAAAAAAAAAAAAGACTGTACCCTTTTTTGTAATGATGTTTACTTTGAATTTATATTAGTTCATACAAACACTCCATCCATGCTTTTGTTCCGGCCCTCCAGTCCAATTTAAGAACCCATTGTGGCCCTCGAGTCAAAAAGTTTGCCCACCCCTGGACTAGAGTAACTCCAATTTTTAAATAATGTGTGTTCTAATGACTAATATCAATAAAAATTCAGTTTGAATGTGAACAGATACAAATGTTCTTAAACATTTTAAGCTAAAATGCCATTTGTTATTTACAGATTTTTTGTCATTAACTTTGAAATTGATATGTGCTTTTTTCACTTTAGATTAAAAACCTTCGTAAATGTGTCACAGTTCATGCTTAAGCAACTTGATGATCCTAAATTCTAATTTCACTTAGTTCACTGAGAATTACTACTATTCTGCTTTCTTTCAGTAAAGCTTTAGAGCTGGAAAGAAGAGAGGGATGAATGGTTTTCTAAAGTTTAGTGCATGAACTTGAACATCTAAGCTTTGAGTTGTTACCTTATTTTGCTCTTACAGGGCCTTTTATTAAATACCTGGTTTGTCTACTGTATTCTAAATATTTCAGGTTTTTCGGTCCATACTGTCAAATTTTGATATTATGGCAGCACTTACCAATTTGTAGATTCAGCAGTGAAGTCTATGACATTGTATTTTGGTAGTCTGCTACAAATTTGAATAATTTTATATTTGTGATGTAGAAGTCAGTTTTTTTTAGTGGTAAAAGCCTAGCTAACCATTTAGCAAATGTATAAATTCTTGGCTCTCCTTCAGAATGTTAGAGCAAATAATATGGAAAAAAATATAAGAAAAGAAGGACTTGGGACAAATAGAGTAATAGCATCTGTCTAAAAGAAATTTAAGGAAATATATTAGCTAAGATGAAAGCACAAATAATCAATGAAATAGTGGGTGAAAATTTCCCTCTCCTGAAAAGTCAAATCTGATTGAAAGAGCATTCTGATAGTCAAGAAGGTTAGATGAAAAAGACCTACATTTAGTCTCAGCCTATTTTAAAATTCCAAGAGTAAGCCCTGGCTGGTGTGTTCAGTCCATGCTGCAAAAGGTCGAAAGTTTGATTCCTGGTCAAGGGCATGTACCTGGGCTGCAGGTTTGATCCCTGGCCCCGGTTGGGGTGTATATGGGAGGCAACCAATCAATGTCTCTCCCTCTCCTCTCTTCTTCTTCCTCCCTCCCTACCTTCCACTCTCTAAAAATCAATGGAAAAATATCCTCTGGTGAGGATTAATAAAAAATATAATAAGATAAAATAAAATTCCAAGAGTAAAAAGAGAACCCTAAACAAGGGGGGAAATAAGCTGCCTAAAAAGAATAGGCGTCCACTGGTATTGGATTTCTTAGCAGCAGCAGTAGATAATAGAAAACATGTGCCTGACTGGGAATCAAACCGGGGACATCTGGGTTCATGAGTCCATCCTTAACCACTGAGCCCACTGTCCAGACCAGAATTTATTCTTGTATTGTCTATAAATTATTGTATTTCCCATATAAGCAACTATAAACCTGCTTTTGCCCTATCCTGAGTATAGATGATAGAAGAGATTCTTTATTCTACTACTTTGTATAATATAATTTAAATTGAATACAGAGGTATTTTCAACTATTAAAAAAGATAGTTCTCCCAAAGGTATCCTTACAAAAAGGAGACTAATAATATGTGTTTCAGCTTGACAAAACTTATGAAAATGAGTATCTATCTGAGTCACAAGATGAGTCAAGAGGGTAGGGTTTGTTTTTATTCCCCTTGCCCATCTGTTTTAAAGGGAGTATGATACCAAGCAGTAGGAAAAATCTTTGATGAAATTTGATGACAGAAGTTGGAATTTGTTCTTTAATATTTAACTTGTACTAAATACAGATCTGAAACATTTAATGGTGCTGCCAAGATGGGTTTGATCTGTTTTAGAGATCTGTGCGTGATTTTTAGGAGATTGGTAAATGCTGATATTTCAAGACTTGAGACCTGCTTCATACTTTAGGATGTGTTTAGTTCTTTAATACATCTAGTCTGCAGTGCTGACAAGTGGGAGTGCTGATTGACTGCTTCTCTGGCAACAGTAACAGCCAAATAAGTCAGTCTGTTCCTTCCATTCCTAAAAGAGGTATTTTTACCATTTGTTTTTGAAAGCTAGCTTTCTTAGTCTTGGCTTTTAAAAATATTCATGGCATTGCCTTCTAAACTAGCCAGTTAAGAATATTTTAATTGTTTAGGTATAGATTCCTTCATTGCTCAGCTAGTTCCAACTAGATAATAAGTACTGAGTAATGTCGGGTGTCTTACGCATCATTGTAATCCAAGCAGGAAGGGATGGACAGAAAGGAGGGAATAAACTGGTGGTTGGAGAATAAATAGGTACTGCCTTCTTAAAGCTCAAGGTGAATCTGGGCCGCGTGAGGTATGTGAGAATGACTAGATAGAGCTTGTTCTCTTCAAGTCATACTTCAGGGTCTTTTTAAAAAGCCAGTTCTTGGGGCGGGCGCGGACACCCGCGGCAGCTGCTGAGTGGGCAGCCTCAGGCTCCGAACGAAGCGGTGGTGGTGGTGGTGGCGGTGGCGGTGGCCGTGGCTGCGGGGGCAGTAAGGCTGTCCCTGCTCTACCAGAGGGTGGCCAGGGGTACGAGCTCAACGGTAACCTGCGGCGGGACTCGGCTGCAGCGGCGGCAATGGCGGTGGCCGTGTGCGCCATGGACTCGGACCCCAGGGGGTACGAGCTCAACGGTAACCTGCTGCGGAACTCACCCAACGCCCAAACGGGCGCCCTGCCGAAAAGGCCCCTCAACTTGAACAGTTACGCTAACAAGAAGAGCGCAGCAGAGAGCATGCTGGACGTCGCCCTGCTGATGGCCAACGCCTCGCAGCTGAAGGCCATCATCAACGAGGGCCCTGATTTCCAGTCCTTTGTCCCCCTGGTGGTCCTTATCTCCATCTCCCTCGTGCTGCAGATCAGCGTGGGCGTGCTGCTCATCTTCCTTGTCAAGGCCGACCTCAACAACCCAGCCAAGCACGCCAAGATGAACTTCCTCAACGACCTGACCACTAGCCTTGTCTTCATCATCGTCGTGGTCAACATCTTCATCACTGCCTTTGGCTTCTAGCACCTGTAGTGGACCTGGCGCCCGGGCCGTAGGTCCTAGATGCCCTGGATTGTGCCTGGTCACAGCCACACAGACCCCAGAAACTGCCTCAGCCTTGGGGCCCACCTGCCTCTGTGCTGCACTTCCTGAAAATGCCAGCGTCAAGACTAGACTGGAGAACAGTCGGACCAGTGTGAGTCCTGCTCCATCCTTGGCTCCTCCTCCCCCTGAAGCAGGGGCAGCAAGGCCCAGAGGCAGAGCTAGAGATCCCCAAGCAGGGCCATGGCCAACATAAGACATGCTGCAGGCCTGAGGAGGGGCAGTTAGGGACCAGGGCCAGCCTTAGTCTTGAGATATTTCTAGAAGGACAGGAGATGCCCCTCCTCAACCAATGCACCCGCTGAGGGACCCCTGGCCCCTGCCTTTCCTGACCTGGTACAATGAACCACCAGCTAATGTGGCACCGCTGTGGCCGTGGACCATGCACACACCTTCCACCAGCCCCGCTTTTCTAAGCACAAATGACCAATAAAACGAATGCATCTCCTGTGCAGCTTCCAGCACTAGTCTCCTTCCTGGGCCTGGGCCCGGCACCTGCCCCAGGCCAGGCCTGTAGTGGTCTCTCCTCTGCTCAGGGCAGTCAGGGGGACATGGTTGACACCTCAGGTGCCTTCTCCAGACTGGCATCTCCAGTCAGGTTTCCAGGTGGAGACCAGGGTCTTGGGTCTGCATTGCCCCAGTGTCTTTATTTTTACAGAATGATTTAAAGAGCTCCTGTAACCCTCGCTGGTTTGGCTCAGTGAATAGAGCCTGTGGACCAAAGGGTCCTGGGTTCGATTCCGGTCAAGGACACGTACTTCGGTTGCAGGTTCCTCCCCAGCCCGGGCCCTGGTTGGGGCTCCTGCAGGAGGCAACCAATTGATGTTTTTCTCTCACATCAGTATTTCTCTCTGTCTTTCCCTCTCTCTTCCACTGTTTCTAAAAATCAATGGAAAAATATCCTTGGGTGAGGATTAAAAATTTAAGTATGTATAAATAAATAAATAATAAATAACAAGCAAACAATAAATAAACAAACAAACAAATAAATAAATAATAAAAGAAAGAGTTCCCCTTGGCTCTATTGGGAGCCTTCCCACAGGTGTTTCCCCCCCATCCAGCTGGGGCTTCAGTGATACGTACTCACTATGCTGTCAACAACTTTAGCTGTAGCCTGGACTGCAGCTCAGTTGGTAGGAGTGTAGTCCCGATATGCCAAGATTGCAGATTGAATTTCCAGTAGATTCAGTCTCCAGTGGGGCGAGTATGGGAGGCAGCTGATTGATGTTTCTCTCTCTCCCTTCCTCTCTCTAAAAATCAATAAACACATATCCTCTGGTGAGGATTGAAAAAGTAAAAGAAACTTCAGTTGAGAAAAGAAGAAAAGTCGGTTGTTGCCCCACATGTGGCTCATTGATTCAGCATCTACCTATCAGGAGGTCATGGTTCAATTCCCAGTCAGGGCACATACATGCCAGGGTTTCAATCCCCAGTAGGGGGCATGCATAAGGCAGCCAGTCAGTGATTCTCATCATTGATGTTTCTCCCTCCCTCTCCTTTCCTCTCTGAAATCAATAAAAATATGTATTAAACAATAAAATAGCCCTAACTGGTTTCGCTCAGTGGATAGAGCGTCGGCCTGCAGACTGAAGGGTCCTGGGTTCGATTCCGGTCAAGAGCATGTACCTTGGTTACGGGTACATCCCCAGTAGGGGGCATGCAGGAGGTGGCTGATCGATGTTTCTCTCTCATCTATGTTTCTAACTCTATCCCTGCCCCTTCTTCATGCGCTGGGCCTCTAGTCTATATATATAAAAGCATAATGCAAATTGTCCCCACAGGACTTAGACCAGGAGACTGATTGATCGCTTGCACTGACCACAAGGGGGCAGCACAGAATGAAGGGAGGCCCCAGCCAGCAGCCAGAAGGCCCTGATCGGCCTTGATCACCGGCCAGGCCTAGGGACTCTACCTGTGCATGAATTTCATGCACCGGGCCTCTTGTTAAAACATAATCCTTCAAGCACTTCATTTTCAGTTTTTTAATGTAACTTTCCAAATTGTTATTTATGTTCCTATCTCAGTAATTGGAGT